CATTTGGCAGCATACTCAGCTGTGCCCGGGCTCTAGTCAGGGAAGTAGAATTCATTGATGGTCTCACTGCTGCAAAACACTTGCTTCCCCCGAACCAATACAGTGTCACATAAAACTCTGTTGCACTTGTGGTGAGCAATCCTGGAGGCTCCATAAGAGGCATAAAACTCGCGGACAAGTGTTTCATTGTAGTCATTAGGAAGCTCGGTGAAACACTCATATTTTCTAGCTTTGATGTTCTCCAACATGTGGGGGTACTGCTCTTATCGCCCATTCGGACTTAGTTGCTTTTTGGCCAGGATTTTACGTTTTGTTAGCCCCTCTCTATATATCTCCCTAGACCATTCGACCCCGAACCTAAGCTGGAAGTCATCTCCTCTTTTCCTTCTTGCCTCAGCTTGTAGGTCAACTGAGGGTAAGGTCTCTTTCTCATCAAACTAGGAGGGAAGTGTAGCAGTAGGGTCCGGTCGTGAATGTTTTGCTTGTTATGCTTGACGACTAGTGGAGGCCCTCTTTTGGGCAGAGGATGTATGTTTCTTGGGAGCCATATCTACACAGAAATGAACTGTGAGCAACATGATAGGCAACAACAAAAAAACTACAAAAAAGTTCAAGTATGCGATAGGTTAAGCAGTCGCATAACCACTATGCGGATCGCAAACTTGTCACAAACTCTTTGCCTCTTGAAATGATATAGGTATGCGATGGGTTATGCGATTGCATATCCATTATGCAGTTTGCATAACCATCACATACTTAAATGCTTGGAAAACATAAACACATTATGCGGTCGCATACTCCACCGCAAAGATGGGTCTGCTATCGCAAAATGGCCACAAACAACATGCTACAAAAGCATTGAAATTGCCTCAGTATGTGGTGACTTTATGGTCCGCATATCAATTATACGATCGCAAATTTGCCGCATTTGATCTTCTTCTTCAGCCACCTAGGGTTCATTTTTGTGGCAACAACGCAGACCACAAATCGACTATGCGGTCCGCATAAGTCATCGTTCTCAACATTTGAACTCAACCCTCAACAATGGTGGACCTAGTTTCACTACCCAGCACCCCAAACATACTTCCTATCTAAGAACCCTCTCACATTATGAACACATACCCAACTTCAAAGAGGAAAAAGAATAAAAATTACAGGAAACAAAATTAGGAGAGACACAACAAAATTTAAACGAAAGTTTACAAGGATGAAATCGGGAAAGGAAAAACATACCAGTGATGGATTAATGAGCACACTTGGGATATGATTTCACAGGTGTTGTCTTACGTTTTTGATTCACTAGCCGTTTTGCCTTCTCCTTTCTCATTTTTTCGTTTTATTTGATTTTATTTCTAATAAAAAAAATTCTTTTCTTTTGTTTTGAAAGTGTTGGAATGCTGAAGATATGCAAGGGTACTTACCTGGGAGGTTTGCGATGGGTAGGTCACCGCATAACACATTATGCGAGCGCATAAGTGTTATGCGATGAATTCAACTTGAGTTGCTTGAGGGCCAAAATTCGGTGCACTATGTGATCGCATAATTGAAATGGTGTCCGCAAAATGCACCTCTTCGCCACATTCTTACCACCAAATTTGCCAAACAAACTGTCTGGGTATGCGACCACAATGCATCCGCATAGTTAAAATTCGACCGCATGTGTGTAGCAAACTTCCCATGGTGACTTTTCTTCCCGTTCACACGCAATTTTACCCAGTGTTATGATCTTTTGAATCCCCTGCACTCTAACACACAATTTAAATTGCTCAATTAACTCTATCTAACAAAAATTAAAATTCAAAGGACAAAAAGGATGTTACCACACATGGGTTGCCTCCCATGAAGCGCTTGATTTAACATCGCGGCGCGAAGAAGTTGGCATTTCTTCGGGTTTACTCATTGGTCAGGCACGGACCATGTTTGGGAGCCAACTGCTCCACCAAGTATTTTTCTCTATTTGTGCCCAAATAGTGCTTGACTCGCTGTCCATTTACTTTGAAGGTTCGGAGCCCATCCTTCGATTCTAATTCCACAGCTCCAAAAAGAGAGACATTGACCACTTTGAACGGACCGAACCATTTCGATTTGAGCTTGCCCAGAAACAATTTGAGCCTTGAGTTGAAGAGCAAAACCAAGTCACCACACTTGAACTCCCTTTTCAAGATCTTTTTGTCGTGGACGAACTTCATCCTTTCTTTGTACACAGCTGCATTTTCATATGCATGGAAACAAAATTCCTCCATTTCATTGAGTTGTGTTAACCTCAAATTTGCAGCTTCATCCTAGTCCAAGTTCAACCTCTTTAAAGTCCACATGGATTTGTGCTCCAGTTCCACGGGTAGATGACAAGCCTTGTCGAAGACTAACAGATAAGGAGAAGTGCCAATAGGAGTTTTGTACGCCGTGCAGTATGCCCACAATGCATCATCTAGCTTCCTTAACCAATCGGGCTTGTTTGCATTAACAGTCTTTGCTAGAATGTTATTTATCTCCCGGTTGGAAACTTCAACTTGGCCACTTGATTGGGGATGATAAGGTATGTCCACCTTATGCTTGATGCCATATTTCTCTAGTAGCACCGTGAATGCCCTGTTACAGAAATGAGACCCACCATCACTAAGAATGGCTCTAGGAGTGCCAAACCGCGTGAATATATTTTTCTTTAAGAATGTGGTCACACTCCTTGCCTCATTGTTTGGTAAGGAAATTGCTTCAACCCATTTGGACACATAGTCCACAACCACCAAGATATATTTCATCCCACGAGAGCTTACAAAAGGACCCATAAAATCAGTTCCCCACTCGTCGAAGATTTCAATCTCCATCACAAAGTGCATTGGCATTTCATACCTCTTAGAGATTGATCCTTGCCTTTGGCATTGGTCACAATCCTTGACCAATTGATTGGCATTATGATTAATCGACGACCAATAATAAACACATTCAAGCACCTTATCCACCGTTCGATTTCCCCCATGGTGACCCCCGACCGATGAGTCATGGCATGCATTTAGAATTGGCATAATATCTTTTTCTGGAACACACCTTCCGATGATGTTGTCAGCACAAACACTGAACAAGAATGGTTCTTCCCAATAGTATTGCCGATAATCTCTCAAAAACTTCTTCTTTTGATAGGATTCCAATCCATTCAGAATAAGGTCTCTAACCAAGTAGTTAGCAATATCGGCATACCAAAGAGCAAAAGTGCTAGATAGTGCCAATATATGTTCATCCAGGAAATCATCATTGATTTCAAGATCTCCCTTTGGTCTCCCTGCCTCTTCAAGCCTCGATAAATGATCCACCACTTGATTTTTTGTCCCCTTTCTATCTTTGACTTCGAAGTCAAACTCTTGCAACAACAGGACTCACCGAATCAACCTAGGCTTTGGATCCTTCTTTGCCATAAGATAGCTAAGAGCAGCATGATCTGTGTACACCTATCACCTTGGATCCCAACAAGTAAGCCCAGAATTTCTCAAAGGCATAGACAATGGTAAGAAGTTCTTGCTCAGTCACCGTATAATTCATTTGCGCTCCAGTGAGTGTCTTGCTTGCACAATAGACCAGGTGAAGAACCTTGTTGTGACATTGGCCCAGCACTACTCCAATAGCTACACCACTGGCGTCACACATAAGTTCGAATGGAAGAGACCAATCGGGTGTGACAATAATAGGTGACTTGGTTAGCTTTTGCTTCAATTTCTCAAAGGCTTTGAGGCATTTCTCATCAAACACAAATTTTACATCTTTCTCAAGGAGTTTGCACATAGGATTTGCAATCTTGGAAAAATCGTTGATGAAACGCCTATAAAATCCGGCATGCCCCAAGAAACATTGGACACCTTTAACTGAAGTAGGTGGAGGAAGCTTGGAAATGATCTCAATCTTTGCCAGGTCAACCTCTATGACATGTTTTGAGATTTTATGCCCCAATACAATGCCTTCATCCACCATGAAATGGCATTTCTCCCAGTTAAGCACAAGGTTGGTCTCCTCATATCTATTGAGCACTTGTCTAAGATTGTTAAGACAATGCTCAAAAGAGTCACCTACCACTGAAAAGTCGTCCATGAAAACCTCTAGAAAATCCTCCACCATGTCGGAGAAGATGGACATCATGCATCTTTGAAAAGTAGCCGGAGCGTTGCACAAACCAAACGACATCCGACTAAAGGCAAAAGTTCCATAAGGGCAAGTGAATGTTGTCTTCTCTTGGTCCTCCAATGCTATATTGATTTGGTTGTAACCGGAATATCCATCAAGAAAGCAATAGAATGACCTTACCGCTAGCCGATCAAGCATTTGATCAATAAAAGGCATAGGGAAATGGTCTTTGCATGTGGCGCTGTTGAGCTTCAGATAATCCATACACACCCGCTATCCGGTCACCGTTCTTGTTGGGATGAGCTCATTTTTATCATTTTCAATCACGGTCATGCCTCCCTTTTTCGGCACACATTGCACCGGGCTCACCCAGAATTATCGGCAATGGGGTAGACTACCCCGACATCCAACCACTTGATGATTTATTTCTTTACCACCTCTTGCATAGACGGGTTCAACCGTCGTTGGTGCTCCACACTTGGTTTAGTCTTATTCTCCAATTGGATCTCGTGTTCGAAAATTCTGGCGGGAATTCCTCGGATGTACGTAATTGTCCATCTAATAGCTTGCCTACGCTCCTTCAAGACCCCTAATAATTGTTCTACCTGCACATCATTCAACAAAGAATAAACAATTATCGGTAAAGTATCATTTGAGCCAAGCAATTTATACCTCAAGTGTGGTGGAAGTGGTTTGAGCTCTAGTTGCGGTGGCTCAATAATAGAAGACTTTGCGGGAGGAGTGGCTCTATTCTCCAAGTCGAGAGAGAGCTTCGTCGGAGCATAAGTGTAGGACCCAAGCCCCTCCAATGCATTAACTGATTCCATATATCCTTCCATATCTTCACCATCAAAGTTTACCAAAATAACCGCCAACACCTCACCGAGGCATTATTCTTCCATCTTCATTTCAACCGTATCTTCCACTACATCAACAACATCAAACACCGAGATGCTTTCATATTCATGTGGTAGTTTCATACCCTTGCTTGCTTGGAATGTGACCTGTTTATCATTCACACGGAATTTGATCTCATTCCGTTCCAAATCCATTAGTGCTCTTCCTATGGCTAGGAATGGTCTCCCTAAAATGATAGGGATCTCTTTGTCGACCGCACAATCAAGGATTACGAAATCGGCGGGTAAATGAAACTTTCCTACTTTAACAAGCACGTCATCGACAATTCCCACCGGTCTCTTTATGGAACGATCGTCCATTTGCAATCTCATACTTGTTGGCCTTGGCATAACTAACCATGCTTGCTTGTAAATGGAAAGAGGCATTAAGTTGATGTTATCCCCATTATCGCAAAGGGCTCTTGCAAAATCATCTGCCCCAATAGTACATGTAATAGTGAAATCTCCCAGGTCTTCTTTCTTTTGAACGGTGGATGTTGCAATGATACAACTAACCCAATGAGTCACATTCACCACTTCATTCTTGGTGGTTCTCTTCTTGGTAATCAAGTCTTTCAAATACTTAGCAAAACCCGGCACCTCTTGAAATGCTTCCACAAATAAAATATTAACCGATAATTGCTTGAGAATGTCATAGAACTTTTCGAGTTTACTATCATCAACCTTCCTAGCAAGTCTTTGAGGGAATGGAGGGCGAGGTCTAGGAATAGGGGGTAGAGTTTTTGGTGTCTCTTTTACCTTTTCCTTTACCTCTTCCCGATTTTCTTCTTGCACTTTCAATTCTTCCGGAACCTTTTCAACTTCAACAACACTTGGCTCTTCAACCTCAACCTCTTGTTCGGACTCTTCAACTTCAACCACTTGTTCACTCCCTCCTTGTAGTACCTTCCCACTCCGAGTAGTAATTTCCATGATATGAGAAGTTGGACCACTCCCACTACCCTTTGGGTTCGCAATTGTGTCACTTGGAAGTCTCCCTTTTTGCTTCGGATTTTGTTCGCTAGAGAGGTCTCTCATTTGTATCTCCAATTTTTGAATGGATGCGGTATGATAGCCAACAATCTCAGTCATGTTCCTCATAGAAGTGTCAGACTTTTCTTGATTTTGCAATACCCGTTCAAGCATGCTTTCCAACTTGGAATCACTTGAGGAACCTTGATTTGAATATTGACCCTTTGGAGGAACATAAGGGTTTGAACTCCGATTTGAGAACTTGTTGTTGTTATTCCAATTTCCTTGATTTCAGCCACTTTGGTCCTTTCGCCACTGTTGGTTGCCTTGCCCTTGCGGGTGAGGCCTCCATTGATTTTGTTGTCCTTGACCTTGGTATTGTTGCCTTGATAACCTCCTTGAGAGTTGTTGACATAGTTTGCCTCCTCAAAGTCTTCATTTGATATGGGTTGCACATCCTCCTCCACATTTATCTTCTTCATTTGGTTTTCAGTGAACATCTTTGTCAACACATTGAAATTTGTGGCAAGCCCTGTAATCACTTGATCTCTCTCTTGATTTTCCTTGATCATAGTGGTCAAGGAAGGAGAACCATATGCAATTCCAACTGTGGTGTCTTCTGAGTGCCATGCTTGATTATGTTTTGCCATTTTGTCAAGTATTTGTGTGACCCTTGCGAATGAGTTGTCCATAAAAGATCCATTAGCTGCATGCTTGGCTATAGATTAGTTCATAGGATCCAAATCCATGTAGAATTTCTCCAACAAGATAGAATCCGAAAAACCATGATTAGGAGACCTTACCAAGTATAACTTGAATCTATCCCATGCCTCATGTAGATGTTCTCCCGGTACTTGCTTGAAAAAGAAAATTTTATCTCGGAGCTCAGACTTCGTGCTTTGCAGGAACCATTTAGCTAAGAATGCTCGGACAAGCTCAGGCCAAGAATGAATGGATTTGAAGCCATTTCCTTGCATCCCCAGCTAGTGAGTACTTGAACACCCTCAACCTTAGGGCATCATCGGAGACCATTACTAAAAAAATTAGGTTTTAGCGACGAATAAATTCTGTAGCTAAATAGAAAAATCCGTCGCTAATCTCATTTAGCGACGAGTTAGCGACGAATTATCAAAAGATTCTTCTAGCTACGAGCGTTTTAACGATAGATTAGCGACGACGTTCGTAGCTAATTCTAGTTTTTTTGTAGTGGACATTATTCTGCTTATGCATCACACACATGCCCAAGAAGTTTCTAAGATATTGTGTCGGATCATCATCAGTGGAATTCCTGTAAAACCCCTCCGCTTTGAGCATAAGGATTAAATCATGTTCCACCTTGAAAGTTGCAGCACCAACAACCGGAGGTACAATAGCATTTGTATCCTCGATGTACTTATCTATGTCCGCAAAAGGATTTTCTTCCATTTGTTCCTCCATTTCTTATTCATATTAGGCCATATTCTCCTATCAACACCAAGCAAAACATGCAAAGTGAGATGGAAAAGAAGAAAACGCAAAGTAAAACACATACTAATTAGTAATTTCAAAACCATATTCCCTGGCAACGGCGCCAAAATTTGATATGCTCAAATTACACTTTAATTCAATAGTTTAAGATGGTCAGTGTCAAATATAATAACCCAACAAGGTTGGGGTCGAATCCCACAAGGAATAGGCATGAAAAGATTACTCGAGTAGTGTGTTACTTGACTTAAGTCGTAATTCTATTCGGTTGATTGTAATAAGAGTATGATATAATTGTAATTTGAAGAAATAACTAATTGTAATGTCGAGAATGTAATTAATTTGATTAAGGAAACCAAGGTTGTGTCCCCTTCAATGGAATGTAATGATATCAGTGTTAATATGATATATTTCTAATGGAAGGTTCTTTAGATATGCAAATGATTTCTAAATGACTACCCAATATTTTCCAATAGTTGGGTAGTATTTCCTCTTTATGATTTTTCCAAATATAAAAGAGTTGCAATTAAGAACAATCAATATATTCCAAATAAAACTCACTTATTCCTAAGCGATTCTATTAAACAAGGTTTAAAGCCTTGAGTCTTTGATATTTACTTCTACCAAATTCTAACTCACTTTTCCAAGTAATGAAGGAATTTAATGGAACTTGTTAATGTTTGCAACCACCAACAATAAATGAAGAATGAGAAATAAATATATATCAACCAACCATTATACATATATTCAATGTTAAACACCCATTAACATAACACCCATTTAGGGTCCACAACCTTAGTATTAAAAGTTAGCTACACATGCTAAAATACAAAAGGATGAGAATATTTAATGCCATAAAGCTTACAAAGTGCAAGATTCTTCTTTCAAAAGCTTCCAAAAGAGAGGAATATTAAAGACTTGGATTGTAGCTCAAAAACTAGACAAGATATCCCCACAAAACCCCAATAAATCTATTTATAGTGGGTCAAAACTCGGGACCAAAATCGGACAAAAATACCCTTCCAGGTCAATTATGTGACTGCATATCTGTCGCATAACAGACATGCCGCCCGCATTCTCTTCATGGCCATCACATTTTCAAACCCTAGTTTCCAGGAATTCATCGCATTCACGTTCTGCGGACCGCATTGTAGATATGCGATCGCATTTCACATTGCATTTTCCACCTTCAGCATCTTTCACAACGAGTTTGCGGTCCATTATGCGGCTCGCAAACCTGTTATGCAATCACATACTGGACCGCATTTCTTGCACTGGACTTTGGCCAACAAACTGTTGGGGTTTGTGATTCCTTTTAGCATTATGCGGCCCGCATGTGGATTTGTGGTCCGCATTTCCACATCCGTGATCACATTTTGCTTTTTTCTTGTCCTTTTGTGGCCTTTTGATTTTATTTCCATACTCTTAGGTCCTTAAACCACATACACTGCAAAAATACTAAAATTACATAAGTATAAAAGATAATTGAATTTAAAACAAGCTAAAATCTAAATAATTTGCATTAAATGTGCCTAAATTCTCCAGCACATCACCAATCGCCATTCATTAAAAAACCCGAGGCCATAAGTGTTACACCCCAAGTTTTCATACGTGAGAGTACGTCGTAAGTCATTGATGTAAGCTCGGAAATGAGATTATATTTGGAAGCAAATAAAGTAAGTTAATCATGTTACCTTGGAGGTTACAAATATTTAAGATCATGAATAACGAGTACCAAGAGGGTTGGAAATCTTAGAAGCTAAACCAATTGAAGAAAATAAGTTTCGTCGAAAGTCGACAAGTTTCGAATGTTATAACATGTACTTTGGGGTGAGACTAGGGTTATTAACATGATAAGGAGGTTATTCTATGAGTTATTTTAGTCGTATGATATTCATTTTCTACATTTTGAAGGCAAGCAAGTTGTGGAACAAGAGTTGGCAAAGGTCATCACAAGTTACATTCATAAATTTGCTGAAATTTAGGTCAAATGTATCTGAGAATTTCTCCAAATATACTTGGAATAATGGGGTGTTCTACCTACCAAATTGAAGGTCTACGAGTCTAGTTTCTAATGCATTAAACCGTTTGTCAATACGACATCGGAGTAGAGAGATATTCGCGTTTTCGCGAGACCGCGCAAGCAGCTCCCAATGGGACCCACTTAGGCGGTGGTTGACCTACTTCAATTTATAAACGATTTGGACGCCTATTTTTGCTCATTTTTCAACTAAAATTCGTCTCCAAACTTCTCCTAACCCTCCTAAACATATACCACAAGGGTTTGAAGTGATTCCAAAGTGATTACACCATATTTCAACATCAAAACTTAGTTCTAGTGAAGAACAACACCTCTTTGAGGTTGTGTTGTCATTGAGGATTGTTGTGGGATGTATTTGGATGAAATTCCAAGTTTTTGCTTCTGTATAAGGTGAGTTNACAAATATTTAAGATCATGAATAACGGGTACCAAGAGGGTTGGAAATCTTAGAAGCTAAACCAATTAAAGAAAATAAGTTAAGTCAAAAGTCGACAAGTTTGGAATGTTATAACATGTACTTTGGGGTGAGAGTAGGGTTCTTA